CAGTTGAGCTTGTTGCCAACGAGTCCGATTCTAAGCAGGGATAAGTAGCCGCTGCAAAAACAACAACAACTGCAGCAACGGAATATGCATGCAGATGCTGAAAAAATCTGTCGGTGACGACTTTCGTCATTTCTGATATTTTTGGAAATCCGGAAGAGTGGTCCCACAACGCAAACCGAGGAAATCTGCTGGCACTAAATAACCTGACAACCAGACAGGCGTGAAGATCCCTGGTAGAAAAAATAAATAAATAAAAAATACAAGACTTTAAAAAGTCTGAACTGAGAGGAAAGCTAGTTCAAGGTTTTCAATTTTGGTACTTCCAAAACAGAGCCTAAAATTAATAAATGTGAACTACAAATATCGAAATTGTAAATTCGTTGCTATTTTTTTTTTTTTTTGATTCTGTTCACCCTCTNGTACTCTTATGTAGATAATTATTTTGGCGACGACCGGGCTACGCGACGGCTGTGGTTGTGGCCAGATTAGATCTATTTCTATTTTTCTGGCGACAGATAAGGTTCTTCCTCTTCTTTTATGTCAAACTCATACAAATTCATGATGTCGCTGCCGCGTTCAAAGAAATCATGTCGCCATCGACAAAGCGTTTAGATAATGAAGATAACAAATTAGAAGCTGTGGTCTGTAGCTCGTCGTTTTCAATGTGTTCAGAACTTCTTGGTGCAAAGCACACAATTTCTACAAAAATTGTTTTCATAACCGACTCCTGGCCTCAAAGAAAAAAATGCCTGAAATAAATACGAGTACAAGCCATGTGAGTAATTTGAACGTAATGCATATTTATTTATTTTTTATTTTCTACACGAAAAATATGTATTGAAAAATCGCAATGATATTGATACACGCGGCACACCAACCCAAGCAGTCCTAGCCAATTGGCAATTTAAATATTTTATATAGTGGAAAAATTGGAATATGCATTTAAAAAAAACGCGCCTCAGCGTTTCACAACAATGTGGCCAAACAATTGAGGCGATTGGCTTGTGTATGGAAATCAAAAGTGAGGCCGGCCAATACACCGAAGCCCGCATACCGGCACAGTGGGTTGGTTCAACTTCTCCCCCGGCGCATATTTTTGTTGTACATTCAATGAAGAAAAGCATATTAATAATGCATGCAATAGAGGCATATTGTTTTTATTTTGTGAGTGAAAAATCAGCGAAAAACAACAATGCTCAACAAATTGGACAACAAAAGGGTTGTGCGCCTATAAGCAATGAAGATAAAAAAAAAACAAGTAAAAGTATAGGGGCGCACTGAAAAATATATGTATGTACCAACAAAACGGAAGCGGAAATGGATATGGATATGCGGCGCACGCCCTACAACGTTCATGAATTGGGAATAAGTAAAAATCAAATTTAACATTGCGGCAATGCAGAAATTTTTGGTTTCTACAAAGAACACATTCCATTTATTCACGAATTTTTCGACGTATGTATAAGTGTGTGGTGAGTGAGGGTAAACAAGTGCGTCTGCTGGCACTTACAAGGCGGCACATTGCAATTCTCTTGAGTGACATTTCAAGAATTGGCCAAATGCTATAAATTCGGCGATTTTCCATTAGTACACCTCTGTGGGCGCACAAAGAGTCAAAACGGGAGCGATTGAATACATAGAACTAAAATTAAAGAACAAATGGAAATTCACAGCAGTCAACAGTAAGCGAAAATTCCCAATTTATGCGCACTCGGCCGACGCAGGGATAACCCTTTTGGATTGTTGTATAATAAATATGCAATAGTACAACAACAGAGTAGCCATTAACGCACAACTACTCCATACATATGTACGAGTATAGCAAACAAGCAAGCAAAAGTCAACGAAACCAAGCCCTTCTCCCACCGCCTGCCTAGCCATCCCGGCTGCTTACTGTACTCGTACTTGGTGTAACTGCACTTGCTGCTGATTTGTATTCGCTTATTGTATGCCTTGTTGTATTTTCTCCGTTTATTTGCCACAGTTTTGCCTCTCTTTGTATTATATATCCTTTACGTTGCTTGCCTCTTTTTACGAATTATTATTGCCTTATTTACTTTTGTTGTATTGTTGATGGTGGCGGTGTCGATTGCGTTTTTGTTATAATAAAATTTAAACTACCGATTTGGGTATTATTTGATGCGAGATTAAAAAGAGATTTACTTGGCACTTAAAGGCAAGAAAGAAATAACTACAACAAATAAAAAGGCAAACAAGGCGGCCGTTGGGGAGTGAGGCATGTATGGGTTGAAGGATTGGAAGTTAAAAGATGCGAATGTGTATATACATATGTAAGGTGTCAAAAGGGTTGTTTTCTTTACACTTGCGCAAAGAAATTTATGTTTTAGTATCGATAATTGACCATAGAAATAAAATTTTAATAAAGCTAACTGCTTAACACGCCATAAAAATGGAGATAAGTGTGCAATTTTAATGCAAAATAGGATAATTTGGAAAAGCAGTGGAATGAAGTAAAAGCTAAAGGAAAACAGCTATATTCTTTAGATAATTAAATACATATTTCTGTACATACATTTTTAGTAATAATAATCAAAATAGAAGTGTCAGTTAGAGCTAATGCGTCTTGGTTTCCTGACCACTTCAGTCGATACGCTTGAAGATCCCGTTACACCCTACAGGTCTAAATAGGGATACGGAGTTTAGCAAACAAGCTCGCAGTTGATTCTGTAAACTCTGTAAAATTTTGTTGGCCTTTCCAGATCGACCAAAAACGGTTTTTCTTTTTGTGCTAATTTATCAAAAACCGGATATCTGTTATTTGAGTGTAGAAAAATAACTACTTTTTGATGAATGTAAGGAAAAAAATTAAGCATTGTGAACTTCTATTAGAACAACCAACCACAGCGACCTTTTTTTCTTGACCTCTAAAAATGAACTTCAGATATATTAATCTCAATTTTTTTTTTCTTTTTTGACCTCAGAGCAGTGTGTAATGAACTTTTAAACCAACTGAAAAATAATTTCAAATTTTTTTTTAAAAAGTTGTTTTTAGGTAAAAAAAAGGGCAAAAAGTCAAAAATTTTACTTTTACAGTTCATTTTGAGGGTCTGATTGAAAAGAAAATCACCTTGACCTTAGAACCCACCTTAAAATTTTAGAATTTGTTTCCCCTTCTTTTGGCGTAAAAATTAACTTTTTTAAAAAATTTTTAAATATATTTTTCAGTTCTTTCTACTGACCATGAAAATTAATTACTTGACGCAGGTATAGCATAAACCTTTGTATTGAAAAATTCATTGCGTACTATTTTTAGGTAAAAAAAAAATAAAAAATAGATTTAAAAACTTCTATTTTTGAAGATTATTTTCAAGGTCAAGATAACTTTTTAACGAACGAGACCATTTTTCCTGCTTTCTGCATCTCAAAAGCTTCAAAATACCGTTACATTTATTTCGTATTTGTTATCATTTTCGAGATTATATATTTTGTCACACAAAAAACAAAAAAAAAAATATTAACGCATGTCTCACGACTAGAATTTAAGTGTGTTCTGTCCAATCCACAAGAAACGGGACCCCGTGCGCCTACTGAATCGAAATTAGCCATGTTATTAAGACATAAAAGGTCTAATGGAAAGTGTTGTGTGAAAAGCTGGAGCCAATTGTCAGCAAAGACCAGGAAAAAAGTGGTTCATCATATACAATATATATGCCGATTTCAAACCCACCTTTGACAGCATGAAAAGAAATTTCCTTTATGGCGCGAAACTAATACGGCTGTCTAAAATGATGGTAAGCAACACCAGCAGCTCCGTCAGAATTGGAAAGGACCTCTCCGAGCCGTTTGCTGCTGAGATGTTTAAGAAAATAGTAAAAGCCACAGAAATAAATCACTTGGTAACATTTTTTTACAGTTATTGGCTTATGTCGCTGAAGTCGACAGCATCGGGCTTAACTAATGCTCCGTTTGTTTTACCTTTTTCCAAGTCGGATATAGAAACAAAGCGAATGGTCGGTCTGGTAGTAAGCGAAATCAAGGTGAGCATATCCTGTCGTCAAGCAAACAGTCAGTGCATTCCCCCTTAACACTAACGTTAGTGTCGAGGCCATCCTTGGTGTATTCGAGATAACGATTTTGCGGAAGATTTGCGAGCTCGTATACCGCACACGATGGCACGATAGGCTAAATTAGCTTTAGAAAGATATAGACGTAGTGTATCGCATTAAAATATGGCGGCTCTACTTGCTTAGTGATGGCGTACGAATGGACACAAGCGCTACAGCCCCGAAAGTATTTCAACGCGAACCCCGGTAGGAAAGGAAGACCTTTTCCTTTGCGATGAGAAAACGAGGTGGAAAACGACTTGGCATCACTTGGTCACTTGCAATTGGCCTCAGTTAGCACAGAACAGAAACGACGACGCGCTATATTTGGAATTTACTAAAAGTTGCTTCGACGTTTACAGCGCCAAACAAAAAGAAGTTCTCAATATGTTTGCAGAATTAAAAAATGCAGGGACCGAAAATAACAGTCGTTTTTTTATCAGTTTAACTTAGCCAAATATTTTTTAAGGCCGAAATAAAAGTCTTTTCCAAATTAAACAATTTTGGTACGAAATGAAAGAGGACTAAATAGCTTTAAAACTGAAATGTTAAAAAGCGACACCTATTGAAAAATATTTCAATGGAAAATGTTATTTAATTACCATAGAACACATCTTGGGTCAGGTATATGAATTTCCTTTGTATTAAATGACAAAAAGAAGATATAAATAGAGGTGGTAACCTTCGTTCGTTATTTCTGCTTAAAAGCTATTTCAGTCCTCTTTCATTTGATACCAAATTTGTTTATTGGTGTTGTTTAAGCGGTTTGTTTATTATCCGGAATGGACTTTAATTTCGGACCTAAAAAATATTTAGCAAAGTGTATCTGTTAAAAAAATAACTGTTACTTTCGGTCCGTGGAAAAATGTGAACGTGGTGGTGCGTCTTTCTTCAAGTAATAAAATAACCAAAGACAAAAGAAAATTCCCCACTCACCTATGATTACATTGCTGGCAAGCGAAACATTCCAAGTGGTAGACATTTGTGCGCGCTCGCATGACCATCTCAAAGGCCGGAATGACTT